GTTGCTGATATGAATTTAGATTGAAATTTATTGTTTAAATTAAACACTGAAATATACACTACTACTTTAAATGAATTATATTTGAAGTCAGATCACTGAGTGACACTAACAATATTACTATATATTATGCTAACGCCTCAACCGAGGTCCGTGTTTTTAATGATATCCTTCTGGTGAAGTCTCGTTTAGGGCCAAGTAATAGTCTGGTTTTAGACAGGTTTCTGTTAGACTAAATACATCTAGCTTTAGATTGGCTATCAAATCATTCGCAAAACTAGTTTTAGAGGGGAGTGACTAATGTTCAACTATCCGAGTTTTATCTTTTGATTAGCTTTATCTTTTATTTGATGAACATCAATTAGATTGTTACCTTTAAATGGGTTGGGATTTTTTTTTATATTTAAAGGACATCGTCTCTATGTTATTATATCTAGTAGGCTCTATGCTGCAGCTTATCTGAGTTTGGTAAACTGTGGAGGCTAGCAGACGGTTGGTTAAGCCAATCTGTCTTAACCACGGTTTACCACAAGGCTCCATACTGGGTCCATTGCTTATCTGTTGCTATATAAAGTATTTACCTGAAAGATGCAAAAAGGTTGGTTGTCAAATGTATGCAGATGATACAATTATTTGTGTAACAGCAGACACTTTACAGAAGGCTGCAGAAATGTTAACTAAGCGACTGGACTGTACATTTACATTTAGTCATATAGCAGACACTTTTGTCCAAAGCGACTTACAATTGAGGAGGTATTCAGCAATTCAACAAGAAGAGGCAATACATATGAGAAGTGCTATTTATTCAGAGTAACATGTTTGTGCTCAGGTAATTTAGTGCTAGGAGAGAGGGAGAAAGTGCTTCGATATGTGGGTTTGGTATTTTTTTTTACCATGGTTCAGGTGTTCTTGGATAAGACGAGTTTTTAGTTGTTGTTTGAAGGATCCCAGTGTATCTGAGTGGGAATGGGAAAATCATTCCACCAGCGTGGAACATTGATTGTAAAGGTTTTGGACAGTGTCTTTCTCTGCGATGGCACCACAAGGCAGTGCTCACACTCCAACCGGAGGCTCCTGGAGGGTGTAGACCTTCAGCAGCAGGTGGAGGTAAGCAATCATCAGTGATTTGAACTTGATTCGAGCTTCATCTAGTAACCAATGCAGAGAGATAAAGAGAAGTGTTACATAGGCTCACTTTGGCTTATTAAAGACCAAACGAGCTGCAGCATTCTGGATCATCTGTAGAGGCTTGAGAGTGCAGGATGGGAGACCGGTTAGAAGAGCATTGCAGTAGTCCAGCCTTGAAATGACAAGAGTTCAGATTAAAAGTTGTGCAGCATGATATGTTAAGAAGGGTCTAATTATTCGGATGTTGACTTTATTTCTTACTTGCTGCAGGACATCTGTTTAACTCTAATTTACAACAAAACAGTTTAGGTGTGTTTTTTGCCAAATGCTTTGGATGTATTTAAAGTCAAAACTGACCAACTGACAGGAAAACAAAGAAGTGACTAAATTTATATATCTAGATGCCATTGTAGACTCTAAGCTTAGGTTTGATGTTCATATTAAGAAAATGTCTAACACTATTAAAGGGCCATGACACCCCCACTTTCGGTTAAAGTCTACTTCAGAGTTTTTTCAAAAGATGCATGATTAATGGGAGTGGGCGTGGCCAGCAGGGGAGAATGTGAGCGAACTGTTGTTGACAGCTAGCTCACAAAATGAGATACAAACCGTGAGGAGACTATAGTTTATAGTGATGAGTTTATAGTTCACAAAGTTAAAATGCAAAGAAATAAACAGTAATTTAATGCCCTGCTACATTTGTTAGTCGTAATTTCATATACACATAACCATAATTTATATCATTATAAAGATAAGTGTGTTCATGTAAACACTATAAATGAGGATTCTCCCTCGATCCCCGGGTCTATTATAGATCTGAATGCAGACTCAGGGCAGCAGGTCTCCTGACCTGCCTATTTTAACCATTAGCCCTGCTGGTAATCTGGCGGATGTGTCTGAATGTGAACGAACTCCTAATAAAAGTCAACGTCCACCATTCTTCAATTCTCGCACTGCTCTCCCGACAAAAAAGCTTTGCTGTATGATCTGCCCTGACAAGATCGCGGGGAAAAAACATGCAACAAACCCCGTGGATCATGGAAACAAACACATACGAGCCTTCATGAACGGCTACTGCGTGCCGTGGGTCCGTGACTCCGTGTCTCACAGCTTGCTTGAAACTGGCAGGTCTGTCTTGCCTTCGGAAAGCACGCGCAGTCATGAATAATTAAGCAGCCGGCTCTTCTCATAAGATAAGAAAACTCCGCAATGAATAATAATGAGAAACCGACGCGTCATCATTGCACTTGCAGTACTGCACTACGTCGCCGATTTTGATCCCGCCCCAAAAATCATTTTAAACCCGGAAGCTGAAATTAGCTGACAAAAGCTCAAAATTATCCAGTTTTCCCCACAATTAAAGCTGACAGGTGCTAACATTGTCTTAACTGATGCTCAACACACACACATCTGTTAATATACAAAAAAAAAAAGTTCTCCAGGGTGTCCTGAACCGTTAAGACTAATTTAAAATAAAATAAATGAATATGCTTATAAATGTAAATATATTTAATAGTAACATTTGATTAATTGTTTAAATGTAGATTTACTGATTGCTTTTAACACTACCAGTACTACTTTTTATCACCAAGTTTTGTTTAGTCACTTTTTTAGTCACGTTTATTTATTTATTTTTTTGTGGGAGTTCAAGAGCATCCATAATTCATATTCAGATATTGAAACGCGATCCATAAATAGATATTCAAATACAGTTTTTCAGGGTACACTTCAAGTTGAACCAACACGCAGAGCGCTTGAAATAACATCATGTCTTCATGTGTAATGCACTGTGATTCACATGCAAGATTCATAAGAGGCTTCTCAAACTTAAAAACACAGTTTAGCCCTCTCCGAACCTAAGCTATGTGCAGACTATTACTGCATACAAAATTCATACTACCTTTGAAATCTAAAACACTCTTTAGTGCACTGCTCCGCAAACATATCTTAGCACTGTTAAAAGACACAAAAGCGCAAATGTATCCCAGTATCTTCGAGATGAGCTTTTAGCAGCAACGTCTGTCAATTCATCCGAAAAATCTCATTAAGACTTGAGCTTGTGTCCACGTGCGAGACAGAGAGGAAAACAGTCACCTGTGTAGTTGTTCGTGTAAAGCTGGGTGCATAACATATTCAGTCATATAATTCATTTATTAGTGTTCAGATTTCACTTCAAGAGCCTGGTGAGAAAGCCAAGGTTTAGTGTTAGATACTAAGATGTAATTCTCAGTTTCTTTGGATTTTGCATTATGGATTTGTTATTTTTGATATATAATATATAATTTCAAACTCATAACTTATGTATAACAACACACCCATAATCCAAAAACAACTGTATAATGTATGTAAATAAATACAGTTGAGGGTAAAGTTATTAGCCCTCCTGTGTTACTAACTATTTTATTATTTTTAAGTGATATTTAATAGATTAATGAATTTCACAGTATTTCCTATAATATTTTTTCTTCTGGAGAAAGTCTTATTTGTTTCATTTTGACTAGAATAAAAGCAGGCTTTAAAAACCATTATAAATCAATATTACTATCCTCCTTTAGCATTTTTTTTTCTGATAGTCTATACCAGTATACCAGTCTATACCACCTCAGAAAAAAATCTCTCCAAGTCTCTCCAAGTACCACCAAAATTAGCAGTAATGAAAAACAGTAGTGTAGTAGGCCCAGTAAAGCAGCTACAACTCTGCACAGTTAAAAAACATGGCAGATTAACCCAGAAATATAGGTTATATGTCATATATGGCATATTATATACATAATTTTTGATAAATTTTGAAATATATGTAGCAGGTACATGAAATATTTAATTCCTCCGCGTACCACTAGAAGGAAGCCCACGTACCACTAGTGGTACACGTACCACAGTTTGAGAACCACTGCTCTATACAATTACTTGCCTAATTACCCTAACTTGCCTATTTACCCTAGTAAAGCCTTTAAATTACGCTTTAAGCTGAATACTAGTACACTGAAAAAAGCTTTCCCTCATCCAATTAAAAAAAAGTTTGGGTAATGGTTCACACCTAAATTTTATCACTTGACCCAAAGAAGAATTATTAATTTGCCTTAAACAATATTTTTTTTAATCCATGAGAACAATTTTATATAATCTGGTACAAACTAAGTGTATTTCTCTTGATGGAGAAAGTTACTTTATTTAAATTCTTTTTTTGTTCCAAACAAGAGGATGTAGCTTTAATCAAAACAGCAATTTTTCATAAAATGTTCATTAATCCAATTAAGGGTAATAGTTTCACATCTAAATTTGATCACTTAAGCCAATGAAAAATAAATCAATTGCCTTAAACAATATTGTTTTTAAGTCCAATTACAAAGCATATCAAGGTTCTGTTTAATTCGGAGTCACTGGCCTGTGTGCGTAACATTGAAATTTTACATTGGTCATATCAAATATTTCTTAGTTGAGCTCTGAATCAAAAACATTTATATTTACTTATGTTTTAACTCAAAATATATTACTTGAAAAATAAAACAAATAATATTAAACTGAAATGAAAGACCAATTTTTAATTGAATAAAGCACTGCTTGAAAGTTTTTTCCAGTGTATCTTGAAAAATATCTAGTAAAATATTATATACTGTCATCATGGCAAAAATAAAATAAATCAATTAGAAATGTGTTGGGGGAAAAACATCTCTTTGTTATACAGAAATCGGGGACAATTTTTTATTTTTTTTTTTTAAAGTATAGGAGCTAATAATTCTGTCTTCAACTGTGTGTGTGTGTGTGTGTGTGCGTGCGTGCGTGTGCGTGTGTGTGTGTGTGTGTGTGTGTGTGTGTGTAAATACACTTGTATTTAAATGTATAATTAAAAATCATAAATCCATAGAAACTGAGCATGTAGAGAGGTCTCTTTATAATTTTTTTTTTTTTTTTGTGGCTTCAAAGGCCAAGAGTCTCCCAATTCTTGTCTCACACAAGCAAAATACAGTAACAAAGTGAGCACCCAGTTAGCTTAGTGGTTAGTAACTAGGTCACTATATGTGGTGGAAAAGTCCCATCCTGTTGAGAGGAGGAATAATAATAAAAAATTCATTCCGGAAACTTCCCTCTAGAGAACTCTACTCTATAGAGACCAAGGCAATGCCTTTATTTGGGAAAAACTCAGTAAATCCTCTTCATCTTTCCTTATAATGTCCACAAAAATGTTTTATCCACAGACATATAGAGTTTTCCATCTGTTCACTACAGAAATCTTGTCATCCAAGCACCCAGAAACTACTATGATCCAGTTTCGCTGCTGTCCGTTCAGTTTAGTGTCAGTGGGGCATGAGCATCATTTTTACTGCCTCCACTGCCATACAGTTACTGCTAGGAAAGTTGCTCCATCTCGAATTGGGTATGTCCATTGGCGGGTGTGTTTGCCCAGGCTTCGGACGCTCTTGGGTGTGAGTGGCTGACCTTCAGAGGGTCTTCGGTGGGACTGTGTGTGTGGATTAAGGCATCAGCTGATGCCGGCTCAGGTGGTTTGTGGTCATAATAGAGAGCCCATAGAAGAGTCACTGTCAGAGTCATGGCTAAGATCTGGGCCACTCCGATCGAAACACCCAAAAACCTCAAGACCTGTAATTGCTTGGTGCCCCGGATAAAACTGTAGATCTTGGGACCGCAGCCCTGTTGAAAACAAATGTAGGATTTGAAGTTATGCAATCATAAAATCGTGAAGTCAAGCTGTACTTATTGCAGGGGTCTCACACTCCTGGAGTGCCCAGAGGGCTGAAGTCCAGCCGAAAACCCTGCTGTAATGTATATATTTTGTAGTTTTTTAAAATACCCAGAATGAATGAATTGGCTTGATTTATGTTCATCCATAATTAGGATTTAATTTAAACTCTGACTGTATATTATAAAGAAGTGCTATCTAAAATTTTCTCCTAATTTTTTTTGGAGTAGGCTCAGTAATTTAACTGTTTTGAAAAAGAATAGGTTATTCTTGCTTCCTTTAAAGTGAACTAAATAAACATAAACACAGGAGACTGAGCAAAAATGTCCATTTTAGAAGAAACTGTCAGATGCACTTTAACATTTTTGCATCTGAACTCAACATATAGGCATATATAATACAAGTTTATTTATATAGCACATTTCATAGACAGTGGCAATTCAAAATGCTTTACATGAACAGGAACAAAAGAGACAAGTGTAAGAACATAAAAACATACAATAAAAGTGATTAAAAAACAGAAAAAAATGTGTTAAAACTAGTTTTAAAAGAATGAAAAAAGAAAAAGACAATCTGTGGAATCACAGTGCTCATTTAGTAAAGGCACAGCTAAGCAGATGTGCTTTCAGGCTTGATTTGAATGTGCCTAATGTTGGAGCACATCTGATCATTTCTAGAAGCTGATTCCAGCAGCGTAGTAGCTGAAGGCCGATTTACCCTGCTTTGACTGAGCCCTCAGAATTTCTAGCTTATATGGTTCTAAAGATCTGAGTGATCCGTTAGGTTTGTATTCAATGAACATATCTTAATATATACAGTATATAAATAAAATAATTTTTTCTACATTACTACACTACCTATGAAGCCTGTAAATACAAGTACAATGCTATTCTAATAGTGCTATAATGCATGCATAATGCCTCATCAACAATGTTACAGTTTGCTGTATCATCTATGAATAATGAATGAAGAAGAATGAATAATTGTATTAATAATTGTAACAGCAGTAATGATACCGAACAAAATCATACCCACTTAAGCTATTAAATTACTTTAAATAATCTATTATATATATCCCATAATTTCAAATCGTCAGCTTTCTTAAAATTGATCTCTATTTAAATGTATGCATTATTTGTGCATTTAATGCTTTAAGAACACCTTCATATTCTTGTAACTGTTATGATTATTTATTAAACTTTACAATATGTTATGAGGTTGTAAATAAAGCATCACATGTGTGTTATAATGCGTTATGAATGCCTCTATAAAGCAGAAAGTGTTACCTTTTTCATTTTGAATATTCTGTGTTTTATTATTGCCATTAGATGTTTGTTTGTTGTCTATCTATCTCTTTCCATCATTTTGTCCATCCAGTATTGTGAATTGATGACATTTTGTCGGCAGAGACTTCTTTTTAATAGTATAAGTTTTTATTAAGAATACTTTTTAATGTTTAATGAAGCTCTGATTTGACAATCTTAGTTTTAAACTACTTTAATCTTAGAATCAGGAGGTGCTAGTTTTGATAGAGTTTGATAGTGCCACTGATTTGGCAAATCAGTATTAGCTGCATTAGTAGTCTGTATAATGCCAACCTTTCATCTGCTAACGGATTCCCAATAGATAAAATCAAGTGTGCCACTGTCCATTTTCCTATTGCAGTCTCAATCAAATATTTTAGATTCATATCAGGAAATTTCAGGCTTCTAACGTTTCACTCTAGTTGTCTCTTCATATTAAACTGAGATATGATAAAGCATTTCAACAGAAAAAAAAAAAAAAAACCCACACTCCCGCACAGCTGCTGCGTTAATATGCGAGCAATGCAGTGTGTTCACCCGCTCGCGTGTGTGCTTGTGTGGTTGGGTTATTTCCCACGTTGAATTGTGGAAGGGCAGGTAAACTGTTTCCTGTTATTGAGGGATTTATACTGTGGCCTGAGAATGCCAGAAATGATTTCTTTGTCATCTACTCGGAGAGAGACAGACAATGACAGAGAGACAGGAAGTGGGTGAGGATCGGCCTCCACACCCTCAGCCCTTCTCTGACTCTCCCTCTTATGATCAGAGCAACAAAGACCTGCTTTCACTCTGCTGAATGACTGAGCTGTGCTGCTGCTGCTTTAGCACAAACACACTGTTTACAATATTTACTGTACTGCTCATCACTTCTGATTGAGATTGAGGCCAGATGTGTGTCTGTCTGTCTGTCTGTCTGTTCATTCATTCATCCTTTCATCCATCCATCCATCCATCCATCCATTCATCCATCTATATACTATTCTATTTATTGTTCCATCTATTCATCCATATATCCATCCAACCAACCAACCAACCATCCAACCAACCAACCAACCATCCAACCATCCAACCAACCATCCATCCATCCATCCATTCATCCATCTACTGTTCTATCTATTGTTCCATCTATTCATCCATCTGACTAACCAATCATCCATCCACCCCACCATTCATCCATCTACTATTCTATTTGTTGTTCCATCTATCCATTCATTCATCCATCCATCCATCCATCCATCCATCCATCCATCCATCCATCCATCCATTCATTTGTCCATCCATTTACTGTTCTATTTATTGTTTAATCTATTCATCCATCTAACTAACCAATCATCCATCCATCCATCCATCCATCCATCCATCCAACCAACCAACCAACCAACCAACCAACCAACCAACCAACCAACCAACCAACCAACCAATCAACCAACCAACCATCCATCCATCCATCCATCCATCCATCCATCTTAATCCATCCATCCATCCATCCATCTACTATTCTATTTATTGTTCCATCCATCCATCCATCCATTCACTATTCTATTTATTTTCCATCCATTCATCCATCCAATTAACCAATCATTCATCCATTCATCCAGCCATCCATCCAACCAATAAGCCAACCAAGCATCCAACCATCCATCCATATATCATTCTATTTATTGTTCCATCTTTCTATCCATCGATTCATCCATCCATCCCTCCATCCCTCCATCTATCCATCCATCTATTCATTTGTCTATCCATCTACTTTTCTCTTTATTGTTCCAACTATCCCTCCATCTATCCAACTAACCCACCATCCATCCATCCATCCAACCAACCAATTAACCAATCATCTATCCATCCATCCATCCATCCATCCATCCATCCATCCATCCATCCATCCATCCACCCATCTACTGTTCTATTTATTTTTCCAACTATCTATTCATCCATCCATTCATTTGTCCATCCATCTACTTTTCTCTTTATTGTTCCAACTTTCCATCCATCCAACCAACCATCCATCCATCCATCCATCCAATAAACCAACCAAGCATCCATCCATCCATATACTATTGTATTTATTGTTCCATCTATCCATCCATCCATACATCCATCCATCCATCCATCCAACCAACTAACTAACCAATCACCCATCCTTCGATCCATCCATCCATCCATCCACTCATCTTCTGTTCTATTTATTTTTCCATCTATCTATCATTCTGTCTATCTAACGCTTTGTTCGTAATGATTAAAAACTACACAAACTTACAAAATCTATAAACATTCCAAAACTTTTTCAAGCATTTCCAAGCGGTGTCACAGACAGCGCATTAAAAGAGCAGGGGTCTGGATGAGACAGTGTGTTGTGTTTGTCCTAGTCTGTGTGTGTTTGCTTCTCAACACACAGGTGGGTCCCTGAGCTACGTGACTGACTTTAATTGCACTGCTGGAGTCGCTCATAACACTCTCTGCCAATACAGTGTGATTAAACACACACTCAGCGGGTAAGCGAAGCTCTCCACTGTCTTGCCTCATTTTAACAATGTCAGCTGCAAAGTCATGTCTTAATTAGGCCTGTCAGTCAATTTTAATGTTTTTAAGAAATTGATTTGCTATTAATTATCAAATTGGAAACCTGTAAATAATACAGAAAACAAATACTATGTAAATCAATGGTTACCAGTTTCCAACATTTTTCAATATAACTTCTTTTGAGTTCATTTAAACAAAAAATCTCAAACCACATTAATGGTGAGTAAATGATGGCATAATTTTCATTTTTGGGTGAACTATCCCTTTAATGGCACTTTCCTTTCATTTCCATATTACTGAAAATAAGTTTCTCACTGAGCAATCCACCATAATTGTTTAGCAAATGTATAAATCTATCTAAATTTGACTTGGTTTTGCATTCTTAGTAACATTTCTGGCTTTTGTATTGACATGAAACACTAATGGATTACTAGCAAGAAGACTTCTCATGTGATTACATTTACACATTACAATTTAATTGCAGATGTTATATTTTAGAGAGGTGTTTCACCCAAAAATCTAACATTTGCTTATTAAATGAATCACCGAAATGCACAGATTCGGGTAAAAAGTATAATTTATAGTTTAATGTTCAACTAAAGAAATAAAATGATCTACATCTTAGACAGCGGTAAGTAAATTAACCAATTTTAATTTGGGGGTGAACTATACCCTACATAAATCAACCCATGCCTATTTTGAAAACGTACTATATACACTTCTGGCTAAATACTTTCTGAGATCTGAAATTTGTCTCGCGAGTGTCATTCATACCTACTGTTCTCACGTAAATCAATCAGAGGCCACTGTTGACTGACGGACTTACCGATCAACTGACCCACCCTCCTTCTTCCCTAAACCCAACCAATAGTGTTTTCAAAAGCTCCGATTGGAGAGCTAACTGGACAAACTGGTAACAGCCGAAAAGCAGTCCTTATGAAGGTAAACGTGAAAAGGAATGGTGTCATTCCACCCTGTAGAGTTCGTTTTAAAGACGAAATTCAGCCATACATACTTCTGGCTACATTATTCGCGATCTCCAGAAATGTATACAGGGCTACGTTTTCAAAATAAGCCTATGTTGACATAAACTGAACTGATCTGCCAGGACACATAATCATTGGCTTATTAGCTTTTTATTTCTTATGAGAGATTATTTAAACTTATAAAAACAGCCTCATTGCTCTGTCAAAGTAACTGAATAAATAATATAAAAAGACAAAATCATCTTCATCTAGCCTGGAAGAGTAACATAAGAGGATTTTGGGTTACAGCCTCAGCAATCAGCTCACCTCCTGGTAAAGGTCACTGAGGTCATTATAGTGGGCCTGGCGAGCACAGCCTGGATACTGATTGGAGCAGCAGGAGTCAGGTGGCCACTCCATCTCTGTCATTTCCAGCCAATCAGTGAAGTAGATCACTCCACAACACTTCAGCTGCAAGACAGGTATGAAATCGTACTTTATACAATGTACAATGATTAGTTTTTAAAGATATTTTTTTACTATTTTTAGGTTGAATTAATAATTTTACTTAATGTAAACCTTTGATTGGTGATTTCAGTTGTGTTTAGATTCAGATTTTAAAAATTTTATAATTTTTTTTTCCCGTACAGATTGATTTCAGTATTCAAAATGTAAATGAAACTAATAATATTTCATTATAATATTTGGTCCTAAAAATATAATGTACTTAATGTGTTCATAATGTATTGCAGATCATTTTTGTGATATTGAGGTGGGATACGGGTAAGGTTAGGGACAGGTTTAGTGGTATGGGTAGTTTTAAGGGTGGGTTAAGTTGTAATATAGTCAACAGTGTAGTTATAAATGTAATTACAGAAAAGGTGTAAAACATGCAGGTATTTGATCATGCAGAAGTACAATGATAAAGCAGGTATTTACACAATAAGTACATTGTAATGAATTATTAATGTCAATGTAAGTATTAGTTAAGGCCACTTAATATAAAGTGGTACCTGCAATATGCCAGTCACACAGCTGTATATTAAACTTTAAATGCATATTAAACATCAAATGTGACCACAAAATGCGGTCAAAAATACAGTAAATGGGTCAAAATAATCTTTTTTTAATGCCAAATATCATTCGAATATTAAGATAAAGTTCCATGAAAGTATCTCACACTTTCAGAAATAAAGGTACAGGAGCTATCACTGGGGCAGTACTAGGCATGGGATGATAATCGTTTTCAAGGTACACAAGGTTTGGAAAAGTCAAGGTTTTAATAGCGCAACAATTTCTGTAATACCGCCCCTAAGGTATGTGTAAGATTTTTTTTTTATTATTAGTTTTTTTTTTAGAACAGTATCTCCAGCAGAAAAAAAAATATGGCGTCTTAAAATGTAAAGAAATCAGTGTTTTTGAAACTAATGAAGACAGCAGAAGTTAATGATTTAAAATCTTTCAAAAAATAGAATATATCGTTTTCAAAGGGGTAAAAAAAAAAAGTTTTTTTACCCAGACATTTAAAAACAATATATTTTAGAGCAGTGAGGACAATACCGTGAAACCGTGATTTTTTATGCAGAGTTATCACACCATGAGACTCTTATACCAGCCCATGCATAGGCAGTAACTTTTCAAAAGATACTTATTTGTACCAGAAGAGTCCATATTGGTACCTCAAAGGTACATTTAGGTAGATTTGGGTACAAATGTGCACCTTTTAGGTACCACTGTGGACCTAGATAATATTTATCTTTTAAAAAGGTACTGCCTCAATGACTCCTTTACCTTTATTTCTGAGAGTGCACCTATTTTCTACTGTAAATATTTCAAAATTAAAATTTTGATTGTTAAACGTACATTAATAACTTTATTGGCAATTTTCTTAATATTTAGATTTTTTTTGGGACACTTTAATGTCAATAGCTGTATAGTTGTATATAGTTTAATAGTTAAATATCAGTCAATATTATTCTATACTAACAAACCATACATCAATGGGACGCTTATTTATTCAGCATCCAGATGATATCTAGTATAAATCTTATGGTTTTGTGCTTCAGGCTCTTAAAAATGCTATGACCGACTACTTTGCAGCTTTCACTTTTACCCACTAATTACTAAAGACTTAGAACAAGTTGCATTGTGTGTGGTTTGGTGTGTGACAAGGTGCCATCCTGGTGATTTTGCCCTCTCACCTCTGTCTGTAAAGCATTCCAGGCGTGTGTCAGCCACTGGTAACGCTGCAGGCCAAAATGAGGCATGCGTGACTTTAGACTTATCATATCAGACCTCTGTACCATAGGCTGAAGGGAGAGAGATAGAGGTGGGAGTTATTGAGAAATATTCATGAAGAAATCATTTCACAATTTTTCAAAAGCCTTAAAACTGTCCCCTTCTGATTTAGTAAGCACATAAAATCAATTCCCCAGCCGTTGATTAATTACATTTTCCAGAGAGCAATGTTATTTCCAATGCAGTTTAAAGGACCATCCGCACGCCCACACATCCAATTTTAGTCTCTCTTATGACCATTTTATTGGCTACTTATGAAATGCCTTATTCACAAGTGTGCCCATGTGTTGTTTGTATACTAATTGGCATTTCATACTCAAGTCCCCATGAGACTTCTGTTTTTTACACCTCAGAAACCATCGTGATGGCCATATGATAAGTACCCATGATGCCCAGGGGCGAGGTGTGTCAGTTTTTTGTAGCAGAACTGTACTTAAAGGTATTTGGATCAATTTATGATTGGATTTTATTCTAAAGAATATGACAAACAACTTGCTTTAGATGGAGGGATGAATGCATAGATAGATAGATAGATAGATAGATAGATAGATAGATAGATAGATAGATAGATAGATAGATAGATAGATAGATAGATAGATAGATAGATATATAGATAGATAGATAGATAGATAGATAGATAGATAGATAGATAGATAGATAGATAGATAGATAGATAGATACGGAGGGACGGATGGATGGACGAATGGACAGACAGATAAAGATCTGAAAATCAGATCTGAAATAACTCACATTTCACATATAAATGCCATTTCATACTTGCAAATCGGATATTTTGTTGATTTCAAGCCAAGAACAGTTGGACTGAATGCACTGTTTTGTTGATCAAACCGCTTGCATGTAACCAGACCAGGTGCAGTGCAGTAAACAGGCTCATTGCCCACCCACAATCCACACACTGGGGTCACATTAGGCCACAGCAGCACAATAGCACCATCCAACCCAACAAAGGGCTTTTTGGATGAGTGATAAGAGCTCGTGTGTGGAAGCAGAAGCTGTGCATGTCGGAGTGAGAGCAGCCAGATTAAAGCCAGGTGTGTGTGATATCCTCCCCTGGAGGTGCATCTTATCTCTCGTATCCCTGAGCTAAGACAAGCAGATGCTGCCTGCAGTCCCTTTTCCCCCTTCCTGATCCAATCTTTCACATCCAGCACAGGTTTGTGTAAAGCCTGACGCTAATCTTGCTTCCACAGCCAACTAGAGCATTTACATACATGTAGACATATATCAATATTCAATATGTCATGATAATGAACATTCGTAATATGGACATTGTGGACACTTCAAAATACTGTGAATAATTATTTATTATTTCAACTTTTAGAGTGGCAATGTAATGTTTGTACTGTAATTAATCTGGCCTACTACATGCTGGAATATTGATTGAAATCTCTGTGACTATTTATAGGGCTATTTACGATGTGATAAGCCTCCAATAGTTAACATTATTTCATTTAACTACAGAGTTAGTTGATTGTTAGCTAATTTAATGAATTAGTTCATTAAACTCTAATAAAATGTGTGTTACGGACAGGAACGTCTGTCATTGTTTTAGTCACTTTAGATATTTATATATAAGCCAATTATATTTCAGCATCCCGGGTAGCCTTTGTGGAAAACCGCGTATTTCATTCATTCAGTCAGGAAGGCTATCAAAGCTTGTGTCTGTGACTGAAATGTGACCTCCGGTGGACAGTAGCAGACTCCAAAATGAGACACACATTCAGAGTTCCACATGAGGTGGTTATTATAAACAATATGAATATTATGAACGTAAACATTAGGTGAGCAGGTTACATTGTAACTTCGTGTTCTAACAACATGCTACCTGACGAGATTTGGAGTGATAAGCAATTTGGCTGTTTGCATCAGACGAAACATGAAATATATTTAAATACAGCCATTCAGAAGCACAGAATAGTGCACTCACTGCACTCCAACGGAATTTACAATCTAATAAATACACATTCAACCTCTTTAACATTATTAAATGTACATGCTAAATTACTAATTTGTGTTGGCTTGCACTGAGTCACAGCTCTAAAGTTCAATTTCAAATGGTTTATTACATTTACAAGATCTGAGGTTAACTTTCTGCTGCTGCTTTCAGTAGTATGGCAATAAATGTCACGTAAAATGGCATTCAAACTCACATTGTTTGCATTTAACACTGAATAAAGCACATGAGGTGTACCTGAGATGATCATTGTCAGTTTGTCCTATTGTTCAGCTATGAGACATAGAAGTCGTTTGTAATATATCAATTTCAGGTGTTGGTTAGGACTAAAAAAAAATGTGCATGTGCCATTGCTTTTAGTTAGAAAACGGTTCAAATCAGTCCAAATCGGCTTAATAGTCAGGCACGCTCACACCAAGCCTGCGCTTGCATGTGTTTTGATCCAGGAGTGCAATATCTAGTTTAACCACTAGGTGTCAAAATATACTGTACCTTTAATGCCTAATAACACGTTAAAATCAGTCATAATCATTTTGTTAAATAGAGTTTATGGCTAATTAAGTTCTGCTGTATTTTTTAAACTATTATTAACATAGTAACTGTAATTAATCTGGATTTTCTGTCTGTTTACTAATAAGACTTTATCTTAAAGTGTTACTTATTTTACGTTATAAACTTTTGCCCTATTTGTTTACACTGAATGTGTATATAAAATAAAGCAATACACTAAGTATTTTTATCAATATTATACTTGTTAATGTAGCTAAGGCCAATATCGTAATAATACTGTATTAGGTATTATCGTATGGTATTTTAATTTACATTTTGTTTTTTGTATTTTGTGATTTGTTATGTTTTAGATATGGACTAAGAGTTCGAAAGAAAGCAGATCATAATAATACAATTGTGATGAAAGCTTTAGCAATTAATCGCAGCTATTTTGTGTTCTGACATTTTATCCAACCCGTCAGATTATCCTATACCAACACTTGACCAACACTATTTGAACAGTTCTGAGGTAAGGGTTATGGATTAGGGCGATATTACAGCCTCATATCACACCACACCAAAAAAATCAGTCTGATTGGTGGTATATATCATCAAAATGTGCTGCCTGTTTTTAAATGAGAGGTATCGGACAAATCAACAAAACACCGTAATAAGCCTACATCCATATAGGTCTCTACACATACACATTCTGCATATTAACACGCCCCAAAAGGAAATCTGCTGAAGCCAAGTCATAATAGTTAAGATTAGACTGTAAGCAGACTGCTCAGAAACCGGATCCTCATTCCGGCGGCCATTTTGTTTAACGTGAGAGAGAGAGACGAGAGCAGGCATTCCTGTTTATACATAGCTTCACGCACCTCGTCATATGTCCACACTCCACTGGCCAGCTCCACGCAGAATATCACCATCAGACTGCCAAAATACTGCACACACAGAAAGAGAGAGAGGGAGAATGAGAGGTTATAAATATAGTGTGAAACAATAGGGCAGAAAGGAAGGTGTTGATGATCAGACAAGTGTATTATTATATTCTGGGATCTGGATTCTGGTTTGTCTCTCAGGTCGTCTGGAGAGAGTAATCGTGACAGGCTGTGTTTAGAATAGAATACAAGTCTCTTATTTTTGGCTAATTATTATTATATTCTATATGAAATATGCAAATGTCTCAATGCCTTATTATACCAGCAAATGAGTTGCTCAAACTTTAATAAGAGAAACATGAAATATAATTGATGAACTCTTGTCAATAGTTGGAAAACAAACAGTTGAAGTCGAGGAATTTTTCACAGTATTTCCTGATAATATTTTTACCTTAAATTCACAGTAAATTACTGGCTGATAGTTGCATTACTTTCACAGTAAAATACTGTATGTATATTTACAACAAATTACTGGGATTTTGTTACATTGAATTACTGTGAAATTACAGCTCTACAGTGTAACTTCACAGTAGATAGTAAGTTCATTACTGGGATTTCCCATGCAATCTTACAGCAATTCGTAACTTTTTGATTTAGTGGCTAATATGTATGAATTCGTACAATCTAATTCGTACAATTTAGTATGTTTTGCTCATCACCCAACGACGGTTGGGGTTAGGGGTGGGGTTGGGTGCCACTCCTCCTTTTTAAAATCGTAAATTATTGTACAACTGAATTCGTTCGAATTAGCCACTAAACTGACATAAAATACTTACGTTTTCTTGTGAGATTTCCTGGTGATTTCACAGTATTATCCTGTAGAATTAACTATATTTCACTGTGAAAATGGCTTTCCTTGGCTGGTCATGCAGACATTTACCCTGACTTTGAAATCATTTTGGGTGTTTAACAGCGTTTGGTTCTATGAACCAATTACTTTCATTCCAGTTTTTGGCTAAGCACAAAGTCATGTTCATTAAAAATTATTTCATATTTCCATGTTAACCTTATAAAACTAAATAAAGGTGCAGTGCACTCAAAAATGAAAATTTACTAGGACATTCATGTTGTTTCAAACAGGATGATTTTCTTTCAAGTTATTTTTGTTGTAACCAAATTGTTTTTGGGGTTGCAATAACATTCTGTTATTTCTAAATATCAAAAAAAGTGCCAATACTAGAATAAAAGTTAATTTGTATTAATGTCTATGTTGAATGAAAGAAAAAGAGTTTAAATTCCTGTAACCAACCTGCAAAATATATAGCCTTTTTCACAGTAATTTTTTTGTAATCATGCTAATTTAATTAATTTCACAATAAAATTCTGAATACAACTCATAGCTGTGAATATTTACTGTTAAATCCTGTAAAGTGATACTAATGTAATTTACTGTGAAAAATTACAGTAACATGTTGCGTACAGTAAAATCTGGAATTTCCTTACAGTGTTTATATATTTTGATTAAATATACAGTAAAAATAGTAATACTGTTAAATTATGTTTTAGTTCAGAATACCTGTTTTCTTTGTGAATATATTTGAAAATTATTTTACATCATAATTTCTTCATTAATGCCACATTTTTTAGACAAGGTTTTAATATTCTGATTTCATTCCTAAGGAAATACATTCTTATTGTTCTCATCTGTGATAAAACCAGTTGTTCTGCTTTATTTTTTTTGTAAAAAACAAATTACAAAACAGCAACATTTTAAAACAAAAAATCTTTCCACACTAACAGTAAATAAAGTTCATAACTGTTAAGGATTGATTTGAAGTAATAATTTGCTTGAAATACAAAGTATCAGAAGAAGTATCATTTATATTTCCACAACAATATAAAGCAGAACAAAACTGATAAGAAAAACCAGTCCCACTATGTACTTAAAGTGAAATTAATAATCCATTACAATGTATATATTATGTAAATACTTGCTTTATTGCTGTACTTAAGCTTGATTAAAAACCTGCATGTAATTATATCTGTAGTTAATTGCAGTATTTACATTTATTATGACACTTTTGACCATCTCTTAAACAATAACTCACCCTTAAACCTACCAATACCACCAAACCTGTCCCCAACCTTACCCGTATCCCACCAGAAGTGTTCGCCATACATTATAAACACATTACGTACATTGTATTATAGTTTAATGTAAATACCTAGTACTTAAGGACACTTAATATAAAGTGGGACCTAAAATGATGAAAATGTATCATGTAACACTGAAAAATGCATTTAACATGATCCCACATTCACACAGACAACTGCTAATCTAAATGTAGATCATTTATCAGTCAATCAATTCATCAATTATGTAATTTTTAATATACTATCACCAATTTTAATTGTCTAATTGTAACTAATAATGAATATTAACAATTTATATGGGTGGGTTTCTATGACAACATTTAAGATTTAAGCATGAAATATACTGAAACATCCGTTCACATCGTTCACACACATACAGCCAATTTAGTTTATTCAATTCCCCTATAGCACATGTTATTTGGACTGTAGGAGAAAACAGAGCACTTGGGGGAAACCCACGCCAACATGGAAGAACATGCAGACTCCATACAGAAAGCCAGCCGGGACTCGAATCAGCAACCTTCTTGCTGTGAGGCGACAGTGCTAACCACCATGTCGCCCAATAGAATGCTCCAAAAATATGTTTCTTTGGTTTTCTTTCTTTCTTTTTTTGTATACAAACAAGCACAGACTTCGTCTTTAGGGCCCTTCCCAACAAACACATCCATCTTATCTACCCCCTTTCTGAAAACAAACACGCACTGTCTGTCTCAACATCTCTTTAACATGTACACAGTTCTCCACTGTTGAACACGCAGATTATCAAGATGAATGACGGTGTTAAGCAGCCGCTTTCAGAGCAGACAGCTTCTTTATTTGGAAGACGCTAAATATTTGTGGCCGGTGTTAACATTTCAGTCCATTTGTTTTGTCAGATGCCTCCACACACACACACACACACACACACACACACACACACATATACAAAATGACAACCTTTTTCTCTTCACACTTATATCTGTTCAGTGTGAACTTGTAACCTCTGGAAGTTCCCCAAAAACTAGCTCATCTGCAAACACACACACACACACACACAGAGGTTACATTCTCTCAGCGACCTCTCGGTTTATTGATTTGTTGATAGTTTTACTCTTCCTCTTTCACACTCACACTTTTTCCTTTTTTTTTTGGCAAGTGCTGTTACAGAAAACAGGACATGGCGAAAATTGATGGATTTCCTTTTCACCGGAACAATTTACACCCCCCTTTTTTTCACTTAGTCATGGAAACAGAACGAGAGTGTGATGCATTCAGAGTTGATGATTAAGTCGTCTCAGATTTGTTTTGACAGATGGCTACTGGTAATGTCATTAAACCTCTGCTTTTAGGGAGACTTACAGTTGGAGAGCTGAACAAATTGATCTGAGTGATACCATGAAGTCATGCAAACTATTGAGAAAAGATGTGGTTTCCTGTCTTTAAGTAAAGACTTAAAATGCTTGAATACAGTGTGCTTGTTTGTGTGTTTGTGTGTTTGGTTCTCATCAAGATAATGGCTCATAAATTACTAAGAATTTTGTATTTTATCAATGTAAAAAATGCTGTTTGCAGAAAATGTTTCTTGTGAGAGTCGGGGAATAGAATATACAATCTGCTGCAGTTCAAACCGAGCATCAGAATAGGGAAGAAAGGTGCTTTAAGTGACTTTGAACATGGCATGGTTGTTGGGCCCAGACGGGCTGGTCTGAGTATTTCAGAAACTGCTGATCTACTGGGATTTTCACGCACAACCATCTCTAGGGTTTACAGAGAATGGGCCGAAAAAGAGAAAATATCCAGTGAGTGGCAGTTCTGTGGGTGCAAATGCCTTGTTGATGTTAGAAGTCAGAGAATGGCTGATAGAAAAGGCAACAGTAACTCAAATAAGCACTCGTTACAACAGAGGTATGCAGAAGAGCATCTCTGAATGCACAACATGTCCAACCTTGAGGCGGATGGGCTACAGCAGCAATAAACCACACCAGGTGCCACTCCTGTCAGCTAAGAACAGAAAACTGAGGCTACAATTTGCACAGGCTTACCAAAATTGAACAATAGAAGATTGTAAAAATGTTGCATGGTGTGATGAGTCTCGATTTCTGCTGCAACATTTGGATGATAGGGTCAGAATTACACGTCAACAACATGAAAGCTTGGATCCATCCTGTCTTGTATCAACGGTTCAGGGGGGGTTGTTGTTGCAAAGGTGTGGGGGCATATTTTTTGGCACTCTTTGGGCCCATTAGTACCAATTGAGCATTGTGTCAATGCAACAAGCCTACCTATCATGTCTATCATGTCAATATGGACTAAAAATCTCTGAGAAATATTTCCTGTACCTTGTTAAATATTAACGTGTATATATATATATATATATATATATATATATATATATATATATATATATATATATATGGTAATATATTAAAAATAATTCATTAGCCCTAAAAAATTAATTAAAAAATAAATATTTATATATATATATATATATATATATATATATATATATATATATATATATATATATATATATATATATATATATATATTTATTATATATTTGATTTTTAAACGTTAAACCATATTTATTGATCATATTGAAAATAGGTATTTTAGATTAAAGTATTTATTGCGATCTGGTAGACAAAAGTATACAAGTAACATACACTTTAAAAAGTGATTAGTTAGAAACATGTTACCTTTAAGTGATTAGCTTACTTTTTTTTTAAAGTAAGTAAACCTGTTGCCTTTAAATTATTAAGTAAATGAACTACGTGCATACTTATAAACATTTAACTGTTAACTAAACAGTACAGCAAAATCAACAGGTAAAGTCAACTTTTAAAGCTCGGGTTTACTCACTATTTTACTAAAATAACTAATAGCTTTTTACATTGTACGCTATACTTGTACATGTAGCGCACTCTTCCTTATTTATATAAAGAATTCCTGGATTCTTTCCCAGTACTGGGTTGCGGCTAGAAGCGCATCCACTGCGTAAAATCATATGCTGGAATAGTTGGTGATTCATTCCGCTGTGGCAACCTCTGAAATAGAAACCAAGCCGAAGGAAAATAATTGAATAAATTTCTGGATTCTGATTAACTAAATCTCTATTTGGAATATTGTCATTTTTATTAAAATAAGCACATAGACCTTTACTAACTCAGAAACAGTAAAGATGCCCAGTCTGGTACAAAATTACCTTTCAAAATATGCTTAAACTATATGAGAAAATGTAGCATTGCTTTTACGTTTGTTGATTTTTATATTTATGTGTATTAAAATGAAATATTTTATTATTTTAATGTGTTAAAACATTTATTATTATATTGATTTACATTTATAAACATTACATGAACATAGATTTGCATGCACACACATACTGTATATTTAGATTTTTCAATAAGAGGGCTGTTTTCGGGCTCTCTGTTTTAGGGCTCTCGGTTTCAGGGCGTTGTGCCCGTCTGCTGACCCAGACTGAGACAGAGCAGTTTTCTGGGTCTCTTTAGCCCATCCGTGCCCCTCCTGCTCCTCTATTCATCTCCTCAGGAGCTTTTCTCCTCTCCTCTCTGCCCCGCGGGCTTCAGTTACACCAGAGGCCGAGAGACTAACAATATTATCTGGCTGAGATACAATAGGTAAACCAATCCAGACATAAAGAGAGGAGAAGAGCTTGAGTTACGCAGTCGCTCTATTCACCAGACGCTGCGACCCAGCCGGACAATCACACACACAAACCGTTTGTCCTGTCACAGCTATGAAAAGGAGGAGGCAGTTCAGAGATTATGATAGTAGAGAGTTATGTTTATGTATAGATTTAAAATTGTGCATTAAAAGTAAATGATGCTTCTTTGAATTTCTGAAAAAGGAAAAATAAAGATTTCAGCAAAAATGGCTACAATATAACAAAGAGTTAAACATTTAAGGGGGTCTGAATACTTTCCGTACCCACTGTATATTATTCATAATACAATTCCATTACATTGAGTCAACATAAATGTAACTTAATTGCAGCATGGCTCACTTGTTAAATAATGTAATCATTTTTCCACATCAGTTGGGTTTGAAAAGACAAAAAAAGGTGATGTATGGATGACCGAATCAGTTTCATTTTTAGACTGACTGTTTAATTCCACGAGGTCAGATAGAGGGTGAGTTTTCCTTCCTCTCCGAATCATTTATATCATCGGTGCTAACAGCCTGTCAAGGTCTTGGCGTTTCAGAAATCACAGTGTCACTAACGCATCCGTCTAAACACACACAAAATCACTTGCAATGGGTTTAACTACGTGCCCTGTATTTGGCCCTGCTTGACAGTCCATCATGTTGAGTGATGCTGTCACATTACTGCTGTCCAACTCTTTGTCTCAGAGACGCAAGAGCTTTATGGCCTTTATAACCTACGCAGCGAGTTGCTACAAGTATCTAAGAGGGTTATTATCATCCGACACACACAGTTTGACGATAAGCATAGCAGGACTCGGGTACACATGACATCCAGTATAACAAAGAGATTGCCTTGTTGTAGTATGAAGAGACTTTCTGTGCCTAAATATGTGAGGGACATAAACTTTGAGCAGCAGAGAGCTACAAAATAAAGTATAAATAAAACTACCTCACAATCCATTTAAGTTCTGTAATAAATACATATTTGGAGGGAGATAGGATGAGATGGTTTTCAATTACAACATACACTGTTAAAAAGTTGACTCAACTCAAAATTGTATAGCAACTTGCTGCAGTTTAGTTGACTCAACTGAAATCTAGTCAAGTGCAGTACTTGGGGTTACAAATTGAGTCAACTCCAAGCTTTACAATTTATAAAGCCTTACTGTCACAGTCACCAGCAATCTAGCCCATGCAGATCGCTGGAGAACTACAAATCTGCTGGTAAATGGACTACAAGATCCAGTCATGCAACACATACACACACCTGCTCTTCAAACCTTACAGAAATTCTTTTTTCTGCCCAACACAAAAAAATATATTTTGAAGAATGCTGGAAACCTGTTATCATTGACTTCCTTTGTAGGAAAAAATACTATGGAAGTCAATGGTTACAGGATTTCAGCATTCTTCAAAATATATCCTTTTGTGTTCAACAGAATTTTGGTTGAAAAAAACTTCACATTACAGACTTGAAGGGATAGTTCACCCCCCAAAATGTATTTACTCTCCCTTCCCTTGTTTCAAACCTTTAAGGGTTTCTTTTTTCAGCCGAACACAAAAGTAGATATTTTGTAGAATGCTGGAAACCTGTTACCATTGATTACATAATATTTGTTTTGCCTACAATGGAGGTCAATAGTTAGAGTTTCAGCATTCTTCAAAATATCTCCTTTTGTGTTCAACAGGAGCTTATTTTTAAAAAAAGCAATACATTACAATACAGACTTAATGGGATCGTTCACCCCCCAAAATGTATTTATTATCATCTTACTTGTTTCAAACCTTACAGAGTTTCTGTTTTCAGCTGAACAAAAAAGAAGATATTTTGAAGAATGCTGGAAACCCTTTACAAGCGACTACTATAGTATTTTTTTCCTACTATGAAAGTCAATGGCTACAGGTTTTACAGCTTTCTTCAAAACATCTCCTTTTGTGTTCAACAGAAGAAAGAAACTCAGAAAGCTTCCTTAGGAGTTGAGTAAACAGAATTTTTTGGTGAACTATCCCTTTAAATTGGCCTTAAAGGATGTGATATCTCTCTCTACCCCCATCTAGTGTGTAAAATAAAGACACCGATGGGGATGCATGGGGTAAATAAAGCACGACTTGTTCGAATCTGGTTGGAGGGTGCTTGGGGTCAGCAACGTCATTACCAGCGAAACTTAAAAATATTCTTGCTACACAAAAACCACACACATTCCATGCCACACAATGTTCCTGCTGTGCTCATCTTTTGGGTTTTGATTTGTTGTTGTTTTTCTTACCCAAGACAGTAGGAGCAGATTGCACTTGAGCGTGCCGCAGTAACCCACCATGGCCACGATGATTAGAAAACAGCACACGGCGATGACGACAGGATGGACCACGGGGGAGTATGTGCGAACGGCTGCCTCCTCCAGTCTGAGAAAGAGAGGGAGAGAGAAAGGCAGAGTCTTTTTTTTTTTTTGGCAGGCTTTTTTGTTTTTTGTTTATTTTCTGGTGCATTGTTGAATATCACAACAAAATTTAGCAACTTTTGGTTGTCACTACAATCTCAGAAATAAAGGTACTCGAGCTGTCACTGGGGTGGTACCTTTTCAAAAGGTACAAATTTGTCTCTAAAAGGTCCATATTAATACCTTAAGGGTACATATTAGTACCTAAAAAGTTCAAAAGTGTTCCTTTTAAAATTCGTAGGTACTAATATCTACTTTTGAGGTACCAATATGGATCCTTTCAATACAAATGTGTATTTTTTTAAAAGATACCACCCCAGTGACAGCTCTCGTACCTTTATTTCTGAGATTGTGTGTGTATTCTATAGATGTAAAGCAATAGATAGAAGACAAAGCTAAAGATCTCTCTTGGCATGATTTGGCTTGTTTCCTAAAATATGTGGAATTTATCTGCACAGCATCATGGGTAATGTAGTTTTACTGCACAAATTCTGCTATTAAATATCTGCTATTATCAAATGTTTATAGAATAAAACAAATATTAACGTTTCACTTAAACACATTCCTAGTAAATCCAATACATCCAGGCATCCAAACTGAAGATTTTAAGTGATATTTCATGTATATATAAACATAATTATGTCATAATTGTACAACATAAGTGTTTTTGATTGAACTTAACTTGTACTATTTCTGCTTTTAAGTTAAACATCTAATTGAAGGTCTGAATTTTCTGCTCTAGTTGATATCCTGCTGTTTCTTTCTGCAGACATGAGATTATTATCCATCTGAGGGTTGCTGACTCAACGTGTTACTGCAGCGCAACCCTGGAGAACCTATTTCTTGTGTACAATCAGGTTTGAATGCAATTTTCCCTCAGTTGATTCCCACAGATCTCATGACGTGGGGCACATAGGGCTCAGTAACGACTGATTTATAATACACACCGTGGTTTATAAATTGCTTTTGTCAACACTAATTAGATATTACTCGCCTCCAGGATATTATTGGTACTTTTGGGATTTTGCCACCCGTTTTGCTGAGTTTCCCATTAATGCTTGAGAGGATTTGGACAAAACTATACGCAAATGAATGGTTCTCAACTCTCTACTGGCAACTTAACGCATTTATCTAATTTTTTTTTTCCCCATCAGAACTGAACACCTTTTTCATGCTTGTAATTACTTCATAAGCTTGAGGCAATTCGATCCAGAAAGGCTGAAAAGTGGGGAAACAGTAAATTGGAGCTTTACATGGACCACTGCTCTGATTGAAAGGTGTATACGGCTCACACCTGTCCATGCACTCACACTCACCTGGTGTCGGCGGTTAAGGTAAGCACATTGTTCAGCTGATCCCTGAGGTAGGCAGACACTCCCAGCACACACAGGGCCATAAGCTGGAACAAAAGACAAGAAATGTGGGACTTAAGCCACATCTAAACATCAATATACTTTTATAGTAGTGTATAAACACACTTTTTAAAGTAAGGAATATTCTTTTTTAATGTTTTACAAATACTTTGATAATTTAAAAATGTAATGTATTTATTATTTTTTAAATGTCGGAATAAATATAAATATTTATTGATATTTTATTTTTGTATTTTAGTACAATTTATCTTTAATTTATTAAAGATATATAATTTTTATATATTTGAACAAATTTCAGTTTATATTTTTACATGTATTTATTGCTAAATAGAGGGTATCCATGGAGTCTTAAAACATCTTAAATCTCAAAATCTCAAAATCTAAATTTTAGGCCTTAAAAAGTCTTGAAGTTACTGAAATATTGTTGTGTAGATCTTAAGTCTTTTTTAAACAGGTCTTAATTTTTCTTTGTTCATGTATTGCTACCCAATCTGGCCAAAACCCATACAATCACCAACAATCCGTCTTAAAACTTTACATTTTTTTATTCAAAAGGTAATTTTTCTTCTTATCACAATGGTTTAATTATTGTGCTTATAATAACATTTGTTTAAAAGTGTTACATGTATTTACTGCTGAGGGAACCAACCTGGACACATTGATGTGCATAAATTAGGTTTATTACAGTTTATTACAGTTTTTAAATATTTTTAAAACAGTTGTTCATTTTTTATTTTTTATTTTAAAGAAAAGTTTATGTTGGAAAAAAGTGTACGGTACAAGTACAGCTTGCATGTTTTTACACATTACACATTACTTAAAATATTTTGCTAAGAAATATCTAAAATGTGTCATTTTTATAATTCATTTACTATTGTATTATTAATTGTATTAAATTATAATACAAATCTTTTATATCTTGGCCTTTTGAAAAAATCCTTTGCGTTTAGCCCTTTATGAGTCTAAAATTTTATTCATAACAGTCTTAAAATGTCTTAAAAAGTCTTAAATTTAACTTGGTGAAACTTAAAGAAAGCTTGTAAGTATATTTGCATCTTTAAATATATATATATATATATATATATATATATATATATATATATATATATATATATATATATTATTTTATTTTTTAAATTTTTTTTACAATAATTTAAAATATATATCTTTTTTAAATATATAATAATTAAAATGGAATTATACAAAACTTATAGTTTAATTAAACATAAAATATGTATAATTATACATAAAAACTATATATATATATATATATATATATATTTTTTTTTTTTTTTTTTTAAATGACCTTGGTCAGGGGAATTCTGTGGATGTCAATTAATTATAAATTAAAAGGTAATTTGGGTTTGTTTGTTTTTATTGCTTAAAATGATACATTTAACTGTGTCCTTCTATAAAATTACCTTGTTGCAGATCAGTTATTTTATTTATTTTCACTGTAAAGAAACTTACTTTTCACCAGGTGAGAGATGAGACAGTTTAGCATCCTTTGCATCCAACGCAATGTGATAAAATCCCCGCTTTTTACTGTGTTGTGTTATTGGAGCCTCTGCATATGAAATAAGTGTGCATTAACCTAATTGTATCCATGTTTGTGTACACTGTAGACTTGGAAACTTATTTACGTACCGTGTTATGCCCGACATGCAGCAATATTAGTGGCATGGGTTTAGTTTGCCCTACGTAGACATTCTTGGTCTAAAAACACACCCTGGCGCTTATCACATTTAATTCCCTAAAAATAGCGCCCGCAGCAGAATGTGAGCTGTGGTGCCATGCATGCGAGCATAACTTGGATTCAGGCTGTCCCCTACGTAAAGATAACATAGGATGGGGAGGGAGGGAACACAGATTGCGCGTTTGTTGGAAAGTGAGTGGCTGTTGCGCGTCTTGGAGAGCTAGGAGCGCAGCAGCAGCAGCATCGTGCCATGTAACGTGAGCGCTCGCCCGGCCACCTGCTCGACTTGGACTCGTCTTACCCAGAAGAGAAAGTTGAGCGCGTAGAGCAGACAGCGCAGACATTTCACCGAATCCTCCCGGGCCATTCTGAGCGCACCAACTGCTCGCCAAAAGACCTCATTTTAACTTCTGCCACCACGGCACCATAACCACTAAGGGAAACAGTCAGAATAACGCATTTTACAAGGTTTTACGGTCAAAATAAAACTTACTTAAGATGTTAATGATGCTGAAATCAGTCTAAGGTGGTTGATTGGTTCTTAGTTTACGCGTAACAAACCTGAAAACCACCTTGACCACACCAGGAGACGCTCTTAACATTTTTAGGTCATCTTATATAGGCCTACTACCAGGTGGTCAGCTTTGGACATCATCATAAAATACCTATAAGAGCATCTAAATGTGCTTAGATGGGGTGACAGACCAAATAAACCAATTTACTTTAAAGTAAAACCCCCAAATAAAAGGTTTGCGTATTTATTTGTTTGTTTGTCTGTTCATTTATGATTTTGAATTGCATTATGAGACTTTGATTTTTCCTTTAACAACTTTTTGGTGTTGAAAGGTTTGAAAAAGTGACTTTTTGTTGACATTTTGCATTGAAGCGATGCATGGATTGCTGTTGTAAATTACTGCACAACAGCCTGGTAATGAACTGCAAGTAGGCCTATACTTTTTTATTTTACGGACTTAATTCTCTCAGTCTCTAGTTTTATTATACGGACTTAATTCCTATATAATTTACATTATTTCAAACCGTTAAAAGGTCAATGAGGGTCACTTTGTTAAAATTCATAGTTAATTTCTTAACATCAAAAGTCAACAGAGCAGAGATGTCCGATACTGCAATTCAACTTTAAAAAAATCTTATATAAATACATTGGATATAAAGAACCTGTTAAAACCATGTTAAGGGTATTTTTAAGTGTATTTAGGACTTGCAAACCATCTCAAACTGATTTAATGCGTTTAAAGGAGATACCTTGTCATAAATCCTTGTGCGCGTTCAGTGCGCATCCATAAAGTCTTGATATGATGTTGCAGCCAAATATCCGTGGGAGATTTCAAAAGCAGCGTGTGATTTTAAACACAGTAACAGGTTGTAATTTTCTCCTCTTGAAAGTTTATAAAATTAATCCGTATATGTCATGGTAGTTTTGACTCCCTGGAGTATCCAATAAGGAAAAATAGAAGAGCGCAGAGTCTCCAGCATGAAGTTGTAGGAAACTCCTCAAACTTAGTTGCGACAGTAATGCAAAATCATATTTATATTCCTGTCAGAGCCGCGCGCAGCAGTCGGGCGTGTTCACGGAGATTCATTCACTGTCACTCTCATTCCTGGCTTTGGTTACTTCACTGCGGGCCAGCTATAAACACCTCGCCTTTCCACAAGTTTGGTGTAACTTGTGCATGTAGGAGACTTTCACTCCAAACGCGCGAGTGTCATCCGGAGCAGCGGTGCCTCCGGGTCCTAAAGGCAAACTCTGGGTCATGCTGATTATGGCAAGCCGTTATTACAGATATGTAATAACGACCTATTACAGCTAGTTTATTATTATTATTATTATTATTATTATTATTATTATTATTATTATTATTATTATTATTATTAATAATAATAATAGTTTAATTGTTTTAATAATAACAATAATAAAAACAATGATTATTATTAATAAACAAATAAATAAATATACATTCTTTAATTATTTAATTGGTAATATTGTTATTGATAATAATAATAATTATTGCTATTATTATTATTTATTTTTATTTTTATATTAACAAAATAATAGCACTATTAATATTTCAGCCTATTACAGCTAGTGTTTATATCGATGTATAAACAGATAATAAGTAGCTATGTTCTGCTATTTTTCCATCAGATGCTATGTGGATGTAAGGTTCAGATCAGGGATATTATAAATATAATTGTTGGACTGTTGATAAATACATGTTGCCTAAAATAAAAATGTTAATTATATATATTTATTTCAGCTAATCTATTTTTTATATATTGTTGATAAACTATTGTGTTGTCTTTGAGTACTATTTGATCCATGTGTATTTTTATTTGAATCCCTGCTATGTTTTTCTACACACAACATGTGATATTAAGAGTGAAACAGACATCAGCTATTTAGCATCAGTTAAATGAGAAAAAAACTAAATAGTTTTAACTAATATTAACTAGTTATAACTTAACATGATACGTAAAATAAATAGCCTATTTAACAATAAATATAAATAAAAATCCTATAAAAATTATATACTCTAAATGAACTTATATAATGAAGAAATATATATATATAAATTATCATTTTCATTTGGTCTTCCTATAATTAAATTAAAAATTAAGAAGTGCTTACATATCATTAGATGCCTCTCCTTCAGTCATTTTGCAATGAGTGTAAAAAAACGTACATATTGAAATATTGGAAAAACTATTGACAAATGACAATAAACAATAAGAAAAAATAAATAAATATCAGTTTAACCCTAATGTTTTGCCACTATTCTTAATGATACCAAAATAACACTTAACTATTCACAATTCAAGGTATTTAAGTAACTATTCAGGTGCTTCTCATTTAGCTGTTGCTAAATAGTGTCAGTTCCATTTAATATTGCATGCTCTTTGCAGAAAACATTTATCAGTTATTTAAATAAAAATACACATAGAAAAATTTAATGGTCAGTGGTAGATATTGAATATTACTCAAAGATAACAATTAACACCTGAGTTCAATTTCTGTAGTCACACTGCCACTCCTGATTACTGCCATCCTGTTCACAATCAACAAATCACTTAAATGGGAGATAGATAGATAGATAGATAGATAGATAGATAGATAGATAGATAGATAGATAGATAGATAGATAGATAGATAGATAGATAGATAGATAGATAGATAGATAGATAGATAGATAGATAGATAGATAGATAGATAGATAGATAGATAGATAATGAAGCAGAGATTAATGATATCTGCCTCTTACTGGAGACAATTCAATTAGGCACAAATTACATGTCTGCATATTTGGTTCCCTTACATTAAAAGCCATTTTACCCACTTAATCAGTTTCTATGGTCATTACACGCTTCCCAAACTCATGCATCAGCAGTACTTGGCGCATATCCAGATCCACTCCTCCAAGATATCATATGCCGGGGTGAAGAGGTCACTTGCGTATTATTTTCTTGAAAGAGGCCGTCATAATCTGCAGTTGTCTGGGATTGTGTGTTATGAATATTACTAAATGCTGCAGCTGTCCTGCTACTGATTTATATAGCGTTGATAAATGCAAATATTTCAAAAATCTGTAATAAATACAACAGTTCCAGTGGTTAAAAGTTATAGTAATGATTACATAACAATCATAAACTGATTATGAAATAAAGCTGATTAAGGAAAATGTAAGGAATTTGTATATTATGTTTAAAATTTAAGCTGTTTATTACTTTAAAGCTGCTCAACCCTGTTGCTGGAGATCTACCTTGCTGCAAAGTTCAGCTCCAACTCTGATCAAACACACCTGAACCAATTAAGGACCTGAACAGCACTTGATAATTACAGACAGGTGTGTTTGATATGGGTTGCAACTGAAATCTGCAAGAAGGTAGATCTACAGGAACAGGGTTGAGCACCCCTGATTTAAATGGACTTCACTCTCTAAAATGGCTTAAATATGTTAATTTTTAGCTAAAACACTAGTCCTTGGTGATTTGTAAATTGTAAATCAGAGTAAAAAAAAACATATTCACAAATACAGTGCAGGCAAAACCAAATTCTTACCTGTGGCTCCTGTAAAAAAAAAAAAAAAAAAAAGAATTATACCTATAGAAAAAAATGATTTGCTACCTATATTTGCTGATTTGCTAACATAATAAAAATATAGTCATTGTTAAAGACTTGAACTGTTTTCTCTATTTTCTAAATCTTTTCTTGTTGTCCATGACAACACTGGCAGAAGTCTTGTTATCGATCATTTGGAAAAGTGGCAGGAGGTAGATTCTTCCAATTCATCATCTGTAGATCTGCAGAACACAAATTGTACCTATTGAAACCCACATGGACCCAAGATTCTTAGAGAAATCAGTCAAGTTTGGTGAAGGAAAAATCATGGTTTGGGGTTACATTCAGCATGGGGGTGTGCAGGAGATCTGCAGAGTGGATGGTAACATCAACAGCCTGAGGTATCAAGACATTTGTGCTGCCCATTACTTTACAAACCACAGGAGAGGGCAAATTCTTCAGCAAGGTAATGCTCCTTCTCTTACTTCAGCCTCTACATTAAAGTTTCTGAAAGCAAAAAAGGTCAAGGTGCTGCAGGTTTGGCCAGCCCAGTCTCCAGACATGAACATTATTGAGCATGAGATGAATGAGGAGGCATTGAAGACGAATACAAAGGAAGTCCTGCAAGAATTCTTTCTTTGCCATTCCAGATGACGTTATTAATAAGTGATTTGAGTCATTGCAGAGATTTATATATGCAGTCATCCAAGCTTATGGGAGTCATACACAATATTAATTATTTTCCACTGCTACATGATTTTATATTCTATACTGTACATTATTTCTGTTAAGTGACAAGACTTTTGTTTAAGCAAAGTCAGACCTTATTGTCTTCATTAAATAATTCAAAATCAAAGCATGATCATATTTTATTTTGGTAAAATAAGTGTTATCTAGAGGCCTTTCCCTTTTATGTAAGCCACTTCTGATACCAAATGATCAACTAGAAGTCAAGTTATTATTTGTTGTTCCTAAAACTTGGACCGCTGACAAGACTTTTGTCAGGTAGTATATAGAGTACACCAAACCAATACAATCAGCCTTGTTTTATTCGGAGCATCCTTAATGCTGACTGATATTATTTGATATTCCAGTGTGCAAATATAGCACCAGGAAACTCAGATGAGAAGAAATATAAAAAGACAACCAGAAATAGCTTTGAAACGGCCACAAACGCAGACGGAACAGTCATCAGAGGAGCCACGTTTCCTGTTTAT